GGAGGTTTCAGTCCATACTCGGCTGGCTCCAGGGCAGACGGCAGCAGCTCGGGGTGGCAGAAAGCGGAGGGCAGAGGAGGTGCGGCGGCTGCGGCGGCTATCACGCCCCTCTGTGTTCCTTTACCTGGTTGTGAAGACCTGCATCCCTCCAAAGAAGTGGCAGCGGCTGTGAAGCTCGGAGCTCCTTGAAGTGGCGGCTGCGAAGATCAAGATCCTTTGAGGTCGTGGCATTGCAAAGCTCGGGACTCCAAGAAGTGGGGCGCAGAAGCCTTCCTCACCCCTTTATATACCCTTTCTGTGCTGACTCACTCTAGGGTGGGCTCTCCTGCCCCAGTGCCAGGCATCACCAAGCAGATCCAGCCAAATTTGGACACCTCAAGTTGACACAACGTATCAACCACCGTGGACTGGTGTACAGTGAGTCTGCAGGCTACTGGCAAAAGCAGGGCTGATCACCGTGTGGTGAGAGTTTCCGTGTGGAAGAGAGGCTGACGGCTCCAGGACGAGAGGCCCTGAGGGTACCCGTGTCCTCAGGGCAAGGCCTGCGCCAGGGTCCCACTACCCAGAGGCCAGAAGTGTTTTTTCTTTGGATAATTTTTCTGGGAATGAACCAGGGACCATGCAATATCTGAGGGTGGGTGGTAGCTCGGGGGCTTTGGGCTCCAGGCCACTCGATGGCCACTGGCTGATTGTTTCAGGAAAGAATGGCCCTTCCCTTGAGACAGCCTGGCACACAGAGCGAACGCCTGAGTTTCTTCATCATTCTTCCTTTCACTGACTTAGCTTTTAGTTTTTTAGGTCCTCAAAGTTGTAGATTTTTAGCTGGACATGGTAGCAAATGCCCATAAATCCAGCACTGAGGAGGCTGAGGCAGGAAGATCGCTGAGAGTTTGAGGCCAGCCTGGGCTCACAGTGAGTTCAAGGCCAGCCTGAACTACATAGTGAGACCCTGTCTCAAAAAAACGAATGAGGGGGCTGGTGAGATGGCTCAGTGGTCTAAGGCACCTATTTAGAACAAACTAAGCTAAACAGAGCACAGGGACCGCGGTTCAATCCCCCAGCACCACATGCCAGCCAGCCCCGCCCCCTGGTGGGCTGAGCTGGCCACACACACTAAATAAATAAATAAATAAATAAATAAATATTAAAAAAAAAGTCTTATAAAAAAAAAAGAATGAAAAATTATGGACTTCTCAACAATGATTCCCAAGTTCCTATCACCTTCTAATTAGCTTATTAAAGCTACTACTGACACTACTTTCTAGGATCAGGATACTTAGAAAAGCCAAGTATGGTGGCGCACACCTGTCATTCCAGGCCTCAGGAGGCTGAGGCAGGAGGACTGCCAAGAGTTGGAGGCTAGCCTGGGCTATATACTGAGACCTTCCACTTGCAGGCTGGTAGAAGAGATCAGACAGAAGTGTGGCGGCCTCCAGCTGCGGAGCGAAGACGTCTACCTGGCCACCAGGTTTGGAGACTTCATCCAGAAGGTGGCGAGGAAGCTGAGAGGAGAGGACCAGGAGGCGGAGCTGGCCGTGGATTACGTAAGCATCTGTACGGGTTTCTACTTGGTCGCACCCAGATCGTGTACCTCAAGGTCCTGTTGTGTCCTTGGTCCATTTGCCTTACATCACTAGCCTTTTAAAAACAGCGCTGTTAGCAGGCGTGGTGGTGCACACCAGTACTCAGGAGGCTGAGGCAGGAGAGTCCCCGAGAGTTCAAGGGCAGTGTAAGCTCTGTAGTGAGTTCAAGGCCAGCTTGAGCTCCTGGATCTCTCTGTATGTTATTTGGATACTATAAAATCTCCCACTTAGAACATAGAGCCCAGTGGTTTTAGAACACTAGGAATTGTGCAGCCGACCCCACTGACTGGAGCTACCACATTGGCCCCAAGAGAAGACTGCACCCATCCTCTTCACCCCCTTCTCTAGAGACCACCTGTTCCCTTTCTGTCTCTATGATTTGCCCTCTCAGATCTTTCCAAGAAAGAGAACCATGTGGCTTTTCCTGTCCAGCTTTTTCCTTTTAGCACAATGGTAAAACTCAAGGTTTACCTATACTGCAGCGTGTGTCGCTACTCTATTCTTTTGCCTGACCAAGTACTATTCCATAGTGGGGGTGCACCAGTTTGTTTGTCTGCCCATCACTCGATGGGCATTTGGGTCATCTCTTCTCTCAGGCTGTGGCGGACAATGAGCCACGAGATCCGCGCCTCTGTGTTTGTTCTCACACGCGTGCTCTGCTGTCATGAGTGGGTGCCTGGGCGGGGAGCTAAGACGTCGCACGGCAGCTCCATGACTTTGGGAGGAGCTCCCCAACTGTTCGCCCAAGCAGTGGCCCATCTTCTACCCCTCTTGCAGAGAATGAAAGTCCCATGCTCGGACCCTGCGGGCTGCTGCCCCTTGGGGAAGCTGTGTCTCACTGGCGCCTCACTCCTGGCCCCCAGCACTGGCACAGCGGGTTTCTTCCCGTGGGCTTCCCCTGTTTGTATGCTATTGGCAGGGAAAGGCCTCTTCCAGTCCTTTGTCCAGTTTTATTTCATTTTATTTTTTGGTACCAAGGATCAAACTCATGACCTCACGCTTGCCATGCGGGCCTTGTGCCGCCGAGCTACGTCCCCGGCCCTTTGTCCAATTTTAAATCCAGGCTGTTGCTGTCAAGTCGTCCAAGTCCTCGGTCCACTTGGGGTACCAGATCCTCAGGGCAGGGATCCGAGGGCAGTCGCTGTCACTCTGGGGAGCTCCTTTGCTCTTCCTCGGTAGTGGCCCTCGGCAAGCAGCCGGGTTCCATTCTGATGAAGTCTGTGCCTTCGCCGCTGCGCTTTCCGTCCATCTTATCTGACGCCTTTTCCATTTCTCTCTCTCCTTTATGGCGCTGTTCTGTGTTAGACGGGTACTGCCTAGGAGGGCAGCTCAATCTGTTTCTGCTTCTCTCGCTATTTCTTTTATTTTTAAGTGGCTGCCTTGAGGGTCACAACGAACATGTTCACCAAAAACAAGGTCTTCAGATTAATATCAGCAGAACAGAGAAGCACTGCCGCGGCCACCTGCTCCACAGCCCGTCCGCTGCTGCGTGGTTCTTGTCACGCACATCCCACCTGCGACTCTGTGTCCAACACTGTTATGATTTTCGCTTTATATTGTGGTCCTTTATATTGGAGAGAAGGAAAGAGTTAAAAGCAAAAATACACTCCTGCTGGGTGCTGACCCTTCCACGCAGCTACGCTAGTGCGTGCCTTTTATCTCTGCGTGGTTCAAGCCCTCGCTCGTGCCTTCCCTTCGCCCCACTTCCCTTCACCCCTTGGAACAGTGATGCATTCTCAGTTCTGTTCACTTGGCGAACGATTGAATTTCTCCTTTATTTTTGAAGGCCGTGTCTGCTATAGGAAGCAGGTATTATTATTCTCATTTTTTTGTTGGAAAAAGCCGAGCTTTGTAGCAAGCAACTGAGTACCTTCAATCCACTTGCAAGCCAGTGGTAGAGCACAGGTGTCACCAACCGTGCCACAGGCGACCCGTGGGGAGAAGCTCTGGGAAGAAAAGGCGGTTCAAAGAATTAGAGGAGGGCTGGTGACGGAGCTCAGCGGAGCAGCACCTGCCTGGCAAGTGTGAGGCTCTGAGTTTGGTACCCAGTACCAAAAAAGAAAATAGGAAAGGGAAAAAAAAAGTTAGGGAAGCAAGGCTGCGCTCCACGGACGTGGCCACTAGATGGCGCTGTCTCCGCGTCTGGAAGCCCGGTGGCGGCTTCGAGGACCAGGTTCTCCTGCCTCCTCGCAGGCCGGTGGGCACCTGGAGACCCCGACCGAGGCTTGTCTCTTCCGAGCACGGGGGACTCGGGTGCGTGCACCCAGCTTCTCCTCCGCACCCTCGCCGCCCTGCGCCCCGGCTGGGAAGCGCGGAACTGGCGTCCGTCCTTGTCTCCGTCCCTAGGTGTCCAAGGACGCCAACGGCATGACCGTGCGGATGCCGCATCAGTGCTTCATAGACGGCGAGTTCGTGGACGCGGACGACGGGAAGACCTACGACACGGTGAACCCCGCGGACGGCTCCGTGAGTATCCGGGGGGTGCACGCGCAGGAGCCGCCGCGACGGCCCAGCGGCTGGGCCCTGCTACTGCGGCTCGGTGACCTCCCGTGGCAGGGGTGGTGGCCGCCTCCCGTGGCAGGGGTGGTGGCCGCCCGCTTGGGGCGCGGCTCGCAGAGCGCCGAGTGGGCACGAGTCTGCAGGCTTCCAAGCTGGAGCTCAAAACTCAGCGTCCCTGAGGTCCCGGAAGCAGCCCAGTCCCCAGACAACGCTTGGCCACAGGGCGGTGTTTCAAAACTCCGCCAAGTTCCAGGTCAATCGGTTCCATCTACAAGCTGTTTGTTCTGGACTGCGCTGCTATTTGTGTTAACTTTCCATCCTAAAATTCTTGGGATTTTATAGTACTTTTTCCTAGCTAGGTGTGGAGGTATATGGCTATGATTTCAGAACTCAGGAGGCTGAGGCAGGAAGATTGTTGTGAACCTGAGGCCAGCCTAGGCTACATAGTAGACCCTATCTCAAAAAAAAAAAAAAAAAAAAAAAAAAAAAAAAAAAAAAAAAAAAAAAAGAAAAAAGAAAAAGAAAACCCAAATCATCTTTTCCTATTAATATATTAAGAGTCACAAGAACATGCCTCTTGCGTGACCTATGTTTACCTTCCCTGCAATAGACAATCTGCAGAGTGGCCTATGCGTCTTTGGCAGACGTGGATAAGGCAGTTGCGGCCGCGAAGGACGCCTTTGAAAACGGAGAATGGGGAAGAATGAGTGCCCGCGACAGAGGAGGACTGATGTACAGGTGCGGTTTTCAGAAAAGCCAATCTGTTATCTTTGGATACCGGCTGATGCTGGCAGGATTTGAGAAATTCTCCCACCAGCTTCTAGCTGTGATTCGGCGTTACCCGAGGTGTGTGAAATCGCCCTCAGGGAGTTCCTGGTTCTTACACTGCTGTTCCTGTCCATATTCACAAGGGTGTGGGCGGGGTCCCGGGGACCCCACTGAGCACTGCAGGCAGGGAGGTCCCTAAGGGACAGAGCGCAGCACTCTCGGTGGCCACGGCCCCCAGAGAGGGAACCCGGGGATTCCCTCATGCAGGTGGCTCTGTGGGCCAGTCCACAAAGGCCACCCGCCAAGGTCACGAGGAGAGTGATGGATCTCAGCAAGCGGAGCCCGCTCAGCCTCCTGTGTTTTCAAGGATGATTTCAAATCTGTGCAATGTGGAGGGAATTGGAGCAGGGCCAGAAATGCCGAGGGGCAGGAGCAGTGCTGTCAGCCCCAAGGCAGGGGCCAGGGAGCCTTCACTTGGCCACTAATTCTGGTTCCTGCTAAGCCACAGCCCAGTGTCTGACCTGAGTCTAAAATCCCTTAGAGCACGATTGGCAAGAAACACTGGGACTGGGGAATTCGAACCCGGCTGCGGCGTCCAGAGCAGCAGCCCAAGCGAGGGCGGCAACGGTGAGGGCTCGCCAGGCAGATTCGGGCTGTGACACCGCCGCTGCACACGCGCTCACCGTCCCAAAGATACGTGTGCCCAGCAGGACGTGGCTGTGCGTTTGTGATGCCGACTCTGCGTCTAGCTGGTGCTTGTCAATTAGTGCTGAAAATATTTCTGTGCCAACTAGGCACACAGTGGCACACATGTGTAATGCCAACCCTCAGGAGGCTGAGGCAGGAGGATTGCCATGAGTGAGGCCAGCCTGGTTTATACAGTGAGCCCCCGTCTCATAAAAACGAAAACCATATCCCTAAAGCAGCCAGAAACCCACAAGCATTCTGGTCCTCAGGGCTGGGGCTTTACTGTGCTTCGGTCTGTGGATTTATGAACTACTTGCATTCCCACGTGGCTTCCTACCACGGATCCCTGTGGCCCAGGCCCAGGCTCTGCTTCATACAGTCCCGAGAGAGTTGCGCCCACTTCACGCCCTGTGCCCCTCCCTCAGAACTCCTGTGGCAGTGAGTCCTTTCCTCCGGAGTCCTTTGCGGAACCTCTGCCCTCCCCACCAGGCCATCCGCAGGCGCAGACCTGGCCCGACTGGGCTCGATCTGAGTGCTCAGTTGTAGGACGGTGCCTGAGTGCCCGTAGCAGGGCTCCGTCAGCATTTGCTGGATGAATTTCTTCTTGGCCATGCAGACTTGCTGACCTCCTGGAACAGAACCAAGAGGAGCTAGCCACCATCGAAGCCCTGGACTCGGGGGCCGTCTACACCCTGGCGCTGAAGACTCACATTGGGATGTCCGTGCAGACCTTCCGTTACTTTGCCGGCTGGTGTGACAAAATCCAGGTGAGCGCAGGTTCTGCTCCACCACAGGGGCAGAGGGGAGCGTGCAGCAGGGACACCAGACCCGCCAGACCCGCCAGATCTGCCAGACCCGCTGTCCACGCAGGCTTCTCACCTGCAGGACATGGTGGTTATAGGCTGTTTTCTACCACAAGCCAGGGTGCCTAAGGCTGGGTAGTTTCTGGTGAACAGAATTTGCTCACAACTCCAGAGGCTGTGCCAGGCTTTCTCCAAGCTTTAGCTAACATGGGCGTGCACAGGTTGCTGTAATAACTCTTTCTGGAAGATCTCTGAAAGGAGCATAGCTGGATCGAAGGGAGGATTTCTACTTTTATTTATTCATTTATGTCTTTTGAGGAGTCCCCACACTGGTTCCACGGTGGCTGTACCGGTTTACATTCCGCTCAGCCTCCCCCCTCCCCCGCAGCCTCCCCAGCACTTGTTGTTATCTGATTTCCTGATGGTGGCCCTTACGTGGGGGTAAAGTGACCTCAGTGTTGTTTTAGCTTGCATGCTTCTAGTGACCAGTGACACTGAATGTTTCCTCATGCCCTGATTGGTCATTTGTATTTCTTCTGAGGATGTCTATTCATTTCACTTCACCATTTTTTATTGGGTCTTTTTTGGGGGGGGATCTAATTTTTTTAGTCCTTTATATATTCTAGATGTTAATTCCCATCTGAAGAATAGGTGTCAAACATTTTTCCCATTCTGTTGGTTTCCTGATTACTCTGTTGGCTGAATCCTTTGCTGGGCGGAAGCTTTTTGATTTGATATGATTTTGTTTGTTGGTTCTTCCTATTACTTCTTGTACCACTGGGGTTCTGTTTAGATAATCCTTGCCTACCCCTATGCCTTCAAGAGTTTTGCCTATTATACTTTCCAGCAGATTAAATGTTTCTAGTTTAGCATTTATATTTTTGATCCATTTTGATTTTAGCTTAGGCTATGGTGAGAAATACATATATGTCTAGACTCAATCTTCTGCATGTGAATATTTTTTCTAGCACCATTTATTAAAGAAGCTGTGTTTTCTCTGGTGTGTGTTTTTGACCCCTTTGTCAAAAACTAGATCTCTGTGTGCACCTGGGGCTGTTCCTGCTTCTTCTGCTCTGTTCCACTGACCACATGCCCGTTTGGGGGCTGATGCCAGGCTGCCTTAATCACGGTACTTTGTGATTTAACCTTAATCCTGGGAGCGTGCTGCCTTCTCTTTTGTTCTTGTTGCCCCAGATAGCTTTTTCTATTTGGGTGTTTTCTGATTTCATATGAATTTTCTGGTTGTTTTCTCTAGATCTGTGAGTGATGCCATTGATATTTTGATTGAAATTGCATTAAATCTGTGCTGTCAGTTTTGGAAATATGGCATTTTTATTGTATTGATTCTGCCTACCCAGGAGCAGGGGATACTTTTCCATGACCTGCTGCCCTCCTCAATTTCCTCTTTCAGAGTGATGTATTTTTGTTATAGACATCTTTTATTTCCTTGGTTGGGTTAATTCTCAAGTATTTAATTTTTCTTGATGCTATTGTGAATGGTATTGTTTTCCTAATTTTTTTTCTCAGTGAGTTCATTATTAGGGTCTAGAAATGCTATTGATTTTTGTGCGTTTATTTCTAACTTGCTATATTGCTGAATATGATTACTAATTCCAGGAGTCTTTTGGTGGAGTTTTTTTTTTTTTGGGGGGGGGAACTTGTGTAAATAAAGGATTATATCATCTGCAAATAATATTATTTTGATTTCTTCCTAACCTATATGCATCCTTTTATTTCTTTCCTTTGCCTAATTTCCTAGCTAGTATTTTGAGGACTGTGTTCAACAGGAGAAGTGATGGCAGACGTCCTTGTGTTTTTTCTGATTTTAGAAGGAAAGCTTTCCATCTTTAATTTAACATGATGCTGGCAGTGGGCTGGTCATAAATGGCTTTTATCGGATCTATTAATGTCCTTCTAAACCTATTTACTTCAGGGTTTTTATCCTGAATGCATATTAAATTTTGTCAAGGGCTTTTTCTGCATCTATTGAGATAATCCTGTGACTTTTGCCCTTGCTTCTGTTTATGCGATTTATTATATTTGTGGATGTGGATCTGTGGAACCATCTTTGCATCCCTGAAATGAAGCCTACTTGACGTGGTGTCTAATCTTTTTGATGATTTATTGTATTCTTTTTGTCAGTATCTTAGCGAGAAATTAGCGTCTATGTTCATTAGAGTTTTTTTTTTTTTTATTGGATCCTTGTCAGATTTTTGCATCACAGCGTTGCTGGCTTCCAGAATGACCTCTGGAGTACTTCTCCTCTCTTAATTTCATCAAAGAGCTTGAGGACTATTGGTGCCAGATCATCCGTAAAGTTCTTGGAGAATTTTCCAGTGAAACCAGCAGGTTATAGGTCTTTCATAACTGCTATTTTTTTTTTTTACTATTTCAATTTTATTATCTGTTATTGAATTTTTCACAATTTTTAAGTCTTTTGTGTTTGCCAATATGCAGGTTTGGGAAGTAGTTGTTAATAGTCTTAAGGATTTGAGTGGTGTCTGTTGTGATTTCACCTTTTTTATCTATGATTGCACTGATCTGTGTCTTTTCTTTCTTTTTATTGGTGAGATTGGCTAGGAATTTTTCTATTTTGTTATTCTTTCAAAGAACCAGCTCTTCAATTCATTGATTCTTTATATTCTTTAAAAAATACCATTGATTTCTACCTTGAATTTTACAATTTCCCTCCTCTACAAGAGCTGTATTTGGACTGTTCTCGCATTTTTCGGACCTTGAAGTGTATCAGGAGGCGATCTGTGTGGGCTCACTTCGTTTTTCTCAAGTGGGTGTTCACAGCTCCACACTTGCCTTGTAGGAATACATTCATTTATCCCGTAAGATCTGCTGCGTGTACTGTCATCATCACTCCATTTAGGAACTGTCTTATTTCTTCTGCGACCCACTAATTATTTAAGAGCCTGTTGTTTAATTCCCACGTGTTTGCATAATTTCTGTGGTTTCCTTTGCTACTGACTTCTAGTTTCACTGCACCTTGGTCTCGTGATACACATGGTCAAATCGTGATTCTTGCGCATTTACCTCAGCACGCTTTGTCAGCCAGTGTGTCTGACCTTGTTATTCTTTAGGGGTCTACGATTCCCATCAACCAGGCACGTCCAAATCACAATCTGACCTTCACCAGGAAGGAGCCCATTGGGTAAGGCAGCGGCGCCTACGTGGGTGGGACCTGTGGCATGCTGCTGCGACCCCGCTGAGGTTGTCCCTTCCCCACAGTGTCTGTGCCATCATCATTCCCTGGAACTACCCACTCATGATGCTGGCCTGGAAGAGCGCCGCGTGCCTGGCGGCCGGCAACACCCTGGTGCTCAAGCCGGCGCAGGTAGGCCTCAGGCCGGGCGCAAGCCTCGGTGCATGATCCCTCCAGTGCAGTGGGGAGCCGAGAGACATGTTGGCAAATGGTGGCTCTTTAAACAAAGACAGATTGTGCGCCGGGAGTGGCTGTGCACATCTGTAATCTCAGCACTCAGAGGCTGAGGCAGGAGGATCAGCACGAGGTCAGTGCCCAGTGTGTGTGTGTGTGTGTGTGTGTGAAGAGAGAGAGACCGAGACAGACAGAGAGAGAGAGAGAGAGAGAGACCGAGAGAGAGGCTCTTGTTGTGGGAAGGCAAAGAGTCTGAACAGAAGGAAGGAATGATGGAATTAGAAATCACCATTTGGCCAGGGATGTGGCTCAGTGGTGTAAGCACCTGCCTGGCAAGTGCAAGGTCTGGAGTTAGATCCCCAATTAGAAAAAAGAAATCACCTTTTGGCATATGATTCAGGCAGGAGCCACTAATGGACAGTAAAATAAGTGAACACCAAAATAAATGGGTGACAGTGTGAGAGTGTTTCCTGACAAAATGTTATTAATCTTGAAGGATAAAATGGTGACATGCCATGGGAAGCGTGGCAGGCCGTCTTTACCAAACAATTAGAGGTAACAGAATTGCTTTGGTGGAAATTGTTGCCAAAAACAAATAATCTAAATCTAATCATGATTAGAAACCAGAGGAATCTGGGCTGGGCACCTGGCGTGAACTAAGTGTGGGCTGTATGTTTTCAAAGTGTCAGAGTGAAAGAATTGAAAAGAAAACTCAGACCCTCTCCAGGGCCAGGGCCAGGACCTCACTGAGCACACTGCTGAAGGTGGCTTTGCTTTTGCAATGACACGCAGTATTAGAGCAGCTGGCGAGACTGAATTGAAGTCTGAAACTAAGGATTCTATTGGCTGTTACTTTCCTCGTTTTGAAAACCATACTGCAGTTATGTAAAAGAAATTCTTGATTTCAGGAGATAAAGAAGCATCTACAGAGAATACTGCACAGTACGTATTTTACCCTTAAGCAGTGCAAGGGATAGGTGATAGGTAGGTGATAGATAACAGACAGACGGTAAGAGGTGATCGACGAATAGAAGATGAGATGGTGGGTAGACAGGTGGCAGGTAGTTGACAGAAGATAGACACACAGGTAGGCACTTAGATAAGGAAGAAAAGGCAGCAGGGAGTTGACATCTGAGCGACGGGTGAGGGCTAGAAGAGGAATTCTCGGGACTTGTATTTTGGTGAGCTCGCTACAAGTCAGAAATTATATCACAAGAAAAAAGAAACAATAGGAAACAGTCAAGGGAGCGCCCCTTTGGGCCTCCTCTGGGACCTGTGCTGGTGCGAGGGAGGGCGGAGCCAGGGCCGTAAGCGCCATCTGCCCCGCAGGTCACACCCTTGACGGCGCTGAAGTTTGCAGAGCTGTCAGCGAAGGCCGGCTTCCCGAAGGGCGTCATCAACATCCTGCCCGGCTCAGGTGAGCCCGCAAGCGGCCGGGGTGCTGCGGCGTGATGTCCTGCTAGAGGCTCGGCCTAAGCTAAAGTACAGGAAAACTAAATCCCACCAGCAAGCAAGAGTCACTGCGGTGCCCCGGCTCAGAATCTCTCTAGCACTGGCAGGGCGCAGCCTAGGCACTGTGGGGAGCCTGGCACCCCGACAGCTGCCCGGGACCATTGGGACCCTCAGTGACTGCTGTGGGCGACACCAAGGCTAGACCATCTGGATTGGGGCCAGGTTGGGAACTGCATGGGGATGTTATTTTAGATTTTCATCAGTTTGTAATGAATACAGGAAATGCAAAACTGAGACTAAACTGAAAGCCTAGACATCTCCTTGTTGGATCGGAGCCCCACTCACCACTAGACCTGCTCCTAGCTTCTCCCCTCTTTGACCTCTGACCCTCCAGGGGGCGTGGCAGGACAGCGCCTCTCAGAGCATCCTGACATCCGCAAACTGGGGTTCACCGGCTCCACTTGGATTGGGAAACAAATCATGAAAAGGTACTGGCTTGGCTGATAATTCCGCTAGCCACATCTCTGCTTTTGTTTAAGCAGAGCGCTTTGTGAGTAAGAAAAACCACATCAACTATAGATGAGAAATCTTCTTCATGCTGGATGTTTAAGTATAGAACGTGATAAAAGACTTCCAAAGCTTTAAAGAACACTCTTAATAAAACCAGAGCTACACTGAAATCCTGCCCTGATGGGCAGCTTTCATGCAATCCAACACTCAGATCATGTAGCAAACCCAGTCCCCGTTGTCCCCGTCGTCCCCGTCGTCCCTGTCGTCCCCGTCGTCCCCGTCGTCTTGGAGCAATAGTACAGCTGAAATGATCTCTATCCTGTATACGACAAATGTGGGTTATTTATAAAATGAATTCTGAACCTGACGACGGTGGCACATGCTTGTAATCCCAGCACTCGGAAGGCTGAGGCAAGAGGGTTGCCACAAGTTCAAGGTCAGCCTAGGCTACCTAGAAAGACCTTGTCTCAAAAAACAAAGCAAATTGTTTGGCTGAATTCATGCACCTATATAGTATTTAGATGCCAATGGAATACCCACCTCTGACATGACTAAACAAAAAAGGGGGATACAAAGGAAGGACCATTTTGTATTTGTACATACAGAATAGTTAGGATAGATATACAGCTACTTTCGCTTAATTCAATGAGAAGAAAGATTTGTACTAATAGTGTTTGGACAGGATATCCTGTCTGCATCTTGTACTATGGATAACCACTAAGAAGGTAACAATGTACAAGGTATTAATTATTGAAACTGTCCTATTAATCAGCTTTGAAACTGTCTCATTGATATTTGTTTCTCAGTAAAATTAAATTAAAAAAACAAAGCAAAACAAAATAATCCTTGGGATGCATAATATTACATACCTTTTTTAAAAAGTTGCTGATATTAAGTTTTTTTTAAAGTTACCAACATTTAAGTTTCCAAAATAAGACATTAAAATACGTCAGTGCAACATAGAACACTGTAGCTAAATTTATGAAAAAAATTTTAATGACATTGAAAATTGTTCAAGTGATAATTTGAGAGAAAAATAAGGTCCAAAACTGTCTATGTTGGGTGATCCTAACTATGCTAAATAAAGTAAAAGCTGTGGTGGGTTGCAGACCAGAAATAGGGGGCTCAAGGTGGTCCAGCCAGGGGTGAGGGAGCCATGGAATGGGATTTTGTGGTTTTTTCCTCTTCCATCTACATTTCTGAGCACATACATAACACACAGCGAGGGCCAGTGACTAGCTCAGTGAAGCCAGGCGCAGGGACCGGAGTTCGATCCTGGGCACCACATGCCGCGCTGGCCCTGCCCCCAGGCGTGCGGAGCTGGCCACAGAGTCTGCGCATAGTGGCACACGCCTGTAATCCCAGCACTCGGGAGGCTGAAACAGGAGGATCACTATGAGTCCGAGCTGCCTAGTGAGACCCTGTACCAAATACATAAAAAAAAAAAAAAAATTCCAAACACAACTAATACCTCCGCAGCCCCTACCTCCCCTCACCCCCAGCTTTAGCATCTGGTTAGAGACCGGATTTCCTTGGCCGGGCGTGATGGGGCTCGAATTTCTCAAGAGCGTGGGTGCACCTAGATGCATCTAATTGCTTGACCACGGGGAATGTGTACTGTCGACAAAGCACACAGAACAGCGTGGTGCGTTCCAAGCACATATCAACCTCCGTCAACGAAAGTTGTGGCAGCCCTGCCCGGGGCTCCTCCGCGGGTGCTTTGCTTAGGGCTTCCGAGGCTCTCTGCGCTGTTTCCGTCCGCCGAGGGGCGGAGGGGAAGGGCTGCTTCCTGTGTCTCTGCAGCTGCGCCGTCAGCAATCTGAAGAAGGTCTCCCTGGAGCTGGGCGGCAAGTCCCCGCTGATCATATTCCACGACTGTGAGCTCGACAAGGCCGTGCGCATGGTGAGCAGAGGGCGGCCGGCCGGTGTCTGCCTGGAAAACCCTGTCGCCTCCGTTACTGGAGGTCTTCACATGAGGTTCAGTTTTATGTGGTCACAGCTAGACATTCTTTGTACAGTAAAAGCACTTAACTTTTAAAAATAGTTTATAGTCCTTCCATTTAAAACATTTTAAAAATTGGCTGGGCATTGTGCACACCTGTAATCCCATCACTTGGGAGGCTGAGGCAGGAAGATTGCTGTGAATTCAAGGCCAACCTGGACTACACAGTGAGCCCAATGCCAGCCTGCACTGCACAGGGAGATCCTGGTTTTAAAAAATAAAGATGTAAGTCATAGCAAGCATATCAAAAACTTCAAATGATGTTCTCAGGGAGCTTCTGGCTTTCTCCTAACATCTCACCCTGCAAACTGCTTTTGTCTGTTTTACAAATCAGGCTCTGGCAAGACTGGCAGACATGACACAAGTTGCCCTACTGAAGAAAAGAGAAATTGGCAGGCGGACATGGTGGGACATGCCTGTAGCACCAGGGCTCGGAGGCTGAGGCAGGAGGCATCACTTGAGCCCTGGAGCTCAGGGCTAGCCTGGGCAACATAGCGAGACCGCCTCTCATTAAAACAACCAAATAGGGGCTGGGGAGATGGCTCGGCAGTCTAAGCGCCTGCCTGGCAAGTGCAAAGACCCGGGTTTGATTCCCAGTACCACATGCCAAGCCAGCCCCATGCGAGCCGGCCACTGAAACCAGACGTGGTGGCACATGCCTGTAATCCCAGCTCTGGGGAGGGGGAGACAGGAAGGATCGTTATGAGTCTGAGCTGCATAGTGAGACCTTGTATCAAATAAATAAATTAATTAATGGCAGAACGATTTTTTTATTCTCAGAATGCCTGCAGGGCAGGTTTGGCAGGCTGGAGTTGTGGGGATCAAACCACAGCAACCTGTGCCTGACTGCTTTGTTAAAGCAGCCACTTAAAGAACTGAGCTAAGGGGCAGGCCCCCAAATAAATTAATTAATATAAAAGAATATTTTTCAAACAACTAAGTAATTGTCACTTTCCTGGTCTTAACATCTTGGTTCTGTAAGATGCTACAGAGGCCTGTGAATGAAGGAAGGGTGCATAGGGCTATTCTGCTTCGTTCTGATGTTTTGAGACACATTGACCAGTTGAGGTAGTTGAGGCTGGCCTTGAACTCTCCAGGGCTCTTCCTGCCTCAGCCTCCTGAGGTGTGCAGCACCACACCTGGCTTGGAAAGCCTGTGCCTTGGCAGCACCTCTTTGTCTTAAACTATTTCAAAGTATAAAAATGTATTTTTAAAAAATGTATTTTAAATTAAGCTTTTTAAAAATGCGGGCTAGTGCTCAGGCCTCATCTCTGAGGCGCAGTCTCACAGCGAGGAGCACAGTGTTGGGCATTCCCGGGAGAAGGTACGGTTTCCAAAATTCTGCACGGAGTTCCAGCCAGCAGTGGGCAGACCTCGCTCACGGCCCCCAGCTGTGGCTGGCCGCACAAGGCCGGGGAGGACGCAAAGTCCTGGGGCACGCGGACCCAAGCCCTCCTGGGCCAGGGCCCGCAGTAACCCATGGGAGGTGTCAGTCGCAGATGACAGCTGAGGTCCACGTGGACTGGACTCCCGTGGACAGCTGGGGTCCATGTGGATTGGACTCCTATGGACAACTAGGGTCCTGAGAGCCCTTCCAGGTCTCCAGAGAAAAGACTGGGAACAGAGAGGGATGGGAATTTGTTCCTACGCCAGACTCTTTCATATTTTGAAAAGCACCAAGTCTTCACTGGCTACTTTGCACTCTTGATTGCATACCAGGGATAAAAGGATGACCCCAAATCACCCAGGGTGAGGTAGTGTAGACACCCGGAGGGTGAGAGGCAGCGTCATAACTGCAGAGAAGCGCTCTGTGCCTTGCTCCAACCCTGAGATTCGCAGCCAGGGATGCTGGAGCTGGCAGCGGTGGGCTCTGGGAGAGGGGCACCCTGGCTAGGGCCCTGGTCCCCTCTGCGGAGGAACTTGCACCCATGGAAATGTGTTCCCTTTCAAGTGGCTCACATACCCTTTATCCCGTTTCAGGAGGCTTCCTGGGAGAAAATTAGCAATCAGTGTAGAGAAGGAAGGGTGGAAAGCCCTGAACCCGCACAGTCTGTCAGTCTTTTGAGTGCTTCCATTTCAAAGATTTTCAAAACTTATTGATAGATTTTCCCTTGGGAGGGTTTCTAAAGATCTGTGATTTATATGAGTTAATGTAGAAACATCTATCCATCTATCTGTCTGTCTGTCTGTCTATTCATTGGAGTTTTTTTGAGACACGGTCTTGCTCCGCAGTCAGGTTGACCTTGAACTCCCCATGGAGCCCAGGCTGGCCTCAAACTCTTGGAGGGCCTCCTGCCTCAGCTTCCCGAGTGCTGGGATTACAGGTGTGGGCCACCACGCCAGGCTGTGATGCAGAGTGCTTCAAAGCAGCAGAGCAGCCGCAAACTACATTTAAGTGTGTAGAATTAGGATTTTTCTTGCAGTACACATTTGTCTCCGGGAGTATATCCTTGCCACACACTTGGTTTTCGAGCTCAGAGGCAAAGTTGCGCGTCTCGAGCAGTTGTTGTCACTAGTCTCCACGGGGACTCCCTGGGGCAGGCTCAGCATGTCCCCTGTCCTCCAGGGACACCCGTCCTCTGTGTGCACGACTGTATGGCGATCTTGTCCTCCAAATGCGAGTAACAGCATCTTCTGTCCTGCCGCCAGGGCATGGGTGCGGTCTTCTTCAATAAAGGCGAGAACTGCATTGCGGCGGGGAGGCTGTTTGTGGAGGAGTCCATCCACGACCAGTTCGTGATGAGAGTGGTGAGCGACTTCCGTCCATCTGCACTCACAAGCGAGGAGCTGCTTTCACCCAGAAAGTGCCTCGTGTTTCTCGGGAACTCTTAGTGAGTGCGCTGAGGGTGGCGTGGTCGGTCAGTGCTGGCAGGAGCTGTGGCTCAGGGTTAGACCTCGTGGCTTAGCGCATACTGGGGCCGGGGTTCAGTCTCCACCACACGCAAGACAAAAAGGAGGAAATCTACAGCACCTGACGCCTGGAATCGCTTCAGAATAACCCAGTAGGCGGGTCCGTGACCTGAGCAAACGGGCCGACACTGGAGGGTCAGCATGCGGTTTCAGTACGGGACTTGTCCACTTCTCTTTCATGTGTCTGAGACTTAGTGACAAGACAAAGTCTCTGTGGGAAACCTTCGTAAAGTAGGCTTCACAGCGGCCAGCAGACACCTTGCTCGTGTGCACGAGACCCTGGACGCCTGCGAGAGAGACCTGAGGCTGGTTACAAGTCCCTGAAGGGATTATGGGCCATGTTCCTGTGCCCCCCCAGATCTGCTTTCGGTTAACATGATGGCATATTCCTCCACTAAGGCAACAAGTCAATAGCAGCTGCAGCTTCCATTGGCAAAACCAGTCCTTGACTCCCCTCCCGAGCCACTTCCCTCCCTTGTGCCACCAAAGAAGCCAAGGTTTTCTTTCTTCCCAGGCTTGGGGAACAAGGAAGTCACAGAGTAGCGGTGGAGGTGGGCAGTGCCACCTCTGTGGTCACACGATAGCCTTGCGTTTGTGTCCCATGAAATCCACTCTGCAGTGACATGCTTCATGTCTTTCATGGCCCGAGACACCACGGTGCAACTCCACCCGCAGAGATGGCGCTCTTGGAGTGCTGATGTCTCTGTCAGCCGGTCCACAAGCGCGCTGGCTCGTGTTTGGGTTCTCACTCTGCAGTGGTTTGTTGAGCTTTTGCTTAGTACTACTTCCTGCACTGCGCTGAGCCCAGGAACATAAAGGACAAAGCAGACTGCATTTCCCCAGCCCTTGGGCTTCCCAGCCAGCGCAGGGCTCTGGGCAGGACACTGTGGCTGTGGCCAGGCCAGGTACAAGCTCAGGCCCAGCAGGGCGCAGCCACTGCCGGTCTTTCCTCTTAACAGTAGACTTAGCATGCCCAGGTTCCAGGGTTGTGCAGGCTCTTCCTAGGTTCTTGGTGTCCTGAACAAAGAATTGGGCCAGATGCATGAAAAGGCAGCAAGGCTTTCCATTTACTAAAGGTAAAAAAGACAAGCATGCTGTGCAGTGTGGAGTGGGCCACACGGAGAGCTCACGGCAGCCACGAGGCTGTGGTGGCCGCCTTTAGTGTCTCTCATTCTTCGGGCCAATATCAGAGCCAGGCTGTCCTACCAAAGCCTGCTTGACTTGAAAATAGAATTGTGCAAAGCACTTTCTGATTGGCTCAGGGACAGGGCTTGGGAACTGGGTCCTGGATCTCTGTGACTGACAGGTTCCGGCCCAATCTCCCGCCTCCTCAGCAGTAGGAAACGCAGAAACCAATGCGGGAAGCAATCAGCAGGGCGGTGGCCAGGGCCACTGTTTGATAAGGACTGCTGCTCATCAGAGCATTCCAGCAGGTCCTTGGTGTGGTGTTCCAGGAGAGGCTGCCCAGGGCAGTCTCCCACATTTGAGGAGGGAAAATAAAGTGCGGTGGCCACTGTAGAAAGGCTTTTGCCACAAAGTGTGAATGTCTGCCACGTTAATGAAAATTCTACAACGCAGTCGATTACAATTTTATGGATTGGCATTCAGGATAACTTCACTATGGTGCGTGGAGTTTATGTTCTGCTAGAACGAAGTGGCAAGACACTGGCCTTCGAGGTCCTGGGCTTTCAGTGTGGTAGCTCTGTAATTCCAGCACTTGGGAAACTGAGTCAGGAGGGTCACAGATTCCAAGCCAGGTCGGGCCACTTAGCGGACTGGAGATGTAGCCTGGTGTGAAGACCCGAGGGTCAGTTCCCAGAAAGGCCACACGCACGCACACAAAGGACCTCGGCCTCCCAAAGCGCGTAGTGCTGCCTAGCCAGTGCGTGATGAGGGAGACCCAGACGCTCGAGTACGATGAGCAAAGAACCAAGTAAAAGAAAGCCTCCACTTACTGAAGCTGATGGGGAAAGTGTCCTCAGTGGGCGGGGGCAGGAGCGCTATGGGGTGGGGAGGCTAGGACGGAACATGAATCGGGCTTTTGGATTTAAAAAGATACGTTCCCTGCCTAGGGCGCCCCTCGTAGGATCTCTAGGTTCGCTTGACAAAAATGATTGACACTGTTCAGAGTCACCTCAGGGGTATCTCATGCGCACGACATTCCCATAATTCACTCTGTCATAATTATATGTATGACATGCAGTCCGATGTATAAAGCACTTGTGAATTTTGAATTACGAAGCACTTAATTCATTAGGAAGCACTTAATGAACTTCAAGTGGGAAAGGTCACTGTAGGTCAAGCCAGTGTACCTCACGCGCACGTGTGCTCTGGCCTAGGGCTTCAGACATTTCTCAGGTCTGTGAGGACAGTGAAGGGAGGGCTGGGCCGGGGACATTGTCAGGCGCATTCCCGTCGCCCCAGGTGTGTGACCTACACCAGCGCTGCACACGTAGCGACTCGCTTGGGCTCTCTGGGCATCGGTTACTCTTCTAGGAGATGGAGATCATGACATTGCCATGCTGCTGTGGGTCCCCTCGCGTGCACAACTCTACGCAGCTTTCCACCACCCGGGCAGGCGCCGAGTTGGGGAGCCCGCTACCGTTGTTAACTAAATTGTGTTTTGTGGACTGGTGGCATACAGGTGGAAGAAATTAAGAAGATGAAAATTGGCGACCCCCTCGACAGATCTACTGACCACGGGCCCCAAAACCACAAGGCCCATCTGGAGAAGCTGCTGCGGCACTGCGATGCGGGGGTGAAGGAGGGGGCCACCCTGGTGTGCGGGGGGAGACGGGTCCACAGGCCAGGTAAGGCCCTCCGTGGGGTGGCAGGCGCCTGCCTCCTGAGCTCAGAATCAGTGTAAAGTTTTCATCACGTAGTACACCTGCATGTACTGCAGAAGTGGACAGGGGCGTTTATAATACGGTCCGAAGGATTAATTACTGTTCTCCATCTACCACTTATAAGCTGTGGCACCTTAGATAACACGATTTTTCTGTGCCTCAGTTTCCTCCTCTGTAAAATGAGATGAAATGTGAATGAATAGCCTATCTTATGAGGCTGATATGACAGGCACTCAGCTGTCAAATGAGTACTGAATCACTCTGTTACGGGGCCCTGGGGACCTTGATTGTTGGCACTTTGAGATTTGATCCTGGCTGACCAGGGGCTAGGAGAGGGTTGATCCTGTTGGTCTTGTTAAAGCAGGACCTGTGACTGAGATATATAAATGGATCAATTTGACAGTTCTCAAAGGAGAGACAGAAACTAATTTTTCCTGTCACAGGTGGTCCATACCAGCACCTTACTCTGAACAGTGATGGGTAATTATAGGAAAAGCTGGGAAGGGCTGGCCAGATAGCTCAGCGGACTAAAGCTCCTGCTTTGGCAGAGCGCAGCCTCTGGGTTCAATCCCTGGCCTGCCATGCCGGCCCCGCCCTCCCGGGTCGTGCTGAGAGAGCGATTGAGACTGGGCGTGGTGGCGCATGCCTGTAATCCCAGCACTTGGGAGGCTGAAAACAGGATAATCACTATGAGTCTGATCTGTGTAATGAGACCATGTAGAACCTGCAGACCCTGTCCTAAATTCATTAGGAAAAAAAGAAAGAAAGAAAAGAAAGGCTGGGATACCTGTTGTTTCCTGGATGATCTGAATTTCTGGATTACTGCATAGTCTGTAAAGGAGATTCTATTTTATAAAAGAATCTCTGCAAGGTAATGACAGAATAATAGAAAAGAATCACCATTTTTTACCTCTACTAGAGGAAATAATTGATTCAGGAAAAGTCGATAGAGGCTGCGCTTAGGCAAATGGTTGATAGGGCCCTGGTGCCTCCAAGGTACCAAGTGTCACAGTTGTGGCTGCTCGCCAGTCATGAGGGGCCAAGCCCAGCCCTGCGGGGCAAGGTTCAGGTTGTCATCATTGCGGGTTAAGCTGAGCATCAGGGAGAGACGCTGGGTGTCGTGTTCTTCCGGGGACACAGCGTGGAGCCACAGTAGCCCCTCTGAACTGTTCTTGCCAGAAAGCCTTAACCTGAAGATCTCTCAGCACCCAGGCTCAGACCCCCAGCTTCTGAGGGATGCGGGAGGCAGGGAGGCATTGTCTAGCAGGCGCAGGACGGCCATGGGGCTGGAGATGCACGATGGTCGAGGTCGCACCCTTTAGGAAAGTATTTGCCAGGAAAGAGCTATTTGTTGAAACATGAATGAGATGGTAAATTTTACACTGTATGGGAAGAAACGAGAAAGGAAATATACGGCATAGAAAAGCCAATACTGCCCGAAGGAAGGAAGCACAAATTTAAGATATAAGATGTTCTGCTGGATAGCTCGCCCTGCACCCTCAACAAGTTATGGCATAAAATAAATAAACAGAGGCAAAACCAGAAATATTTAGATTAAAGGACAGTTGAGAATTCTAACCATGAAAGGCAACATGTAGGACTTATGTGAGTTTTAATTCACATAAATTCATTGAGGAAAAATACATTTTCAAACAATAGAAGAAGTAAAAATATAAACTTCAAGTGAAGAATGATCAAGAATTTTGCTCAGTGTAGTACTGTGTTAGGATTATATAAACAAAGTCCTGATTTTTAACTTATTTGCACTGAGGTAGTTGAGAGTGAAAATTATATTGCGATCTTGCCTTAAAATACTTAATGGGGGTCAAAGTAAAGATAATGTAGCAAAACATGACTTTATTTACTAGCATATTATTTTTGCTTTTGCAAATAGTTAAAATTTTCATAATATATACATTAAAAATAAGAATCTAGAAATCCCAAAGCTCAATAGAGACATGAACCTTAGTTTTACTGAGCCAGGGAGGAAATCACAATGGAATTAAAGAAAGAACTATTCGTTGCAAATGACTTGACCTGTAGCTGATATTCTTTCTTTCCCGTTTCCCAAAAGGCTTTTTTATGGAGCCGACCGTGTTCACAGATGTGGAAGACCACATGTTCCTGGCCCAGGAGGAGTCCTTCGGGCCCATTATGGTCATTTCCAAGTTCCCGGATGGGTACGTTCTGCAGGCGCAGCTGAGCTGGGTGCCCCTCCCCGCTGCCCTGCATGCCTCGGTGGCCACATCAGTCCCCACCCTGGCCTATTAGCTTCCCTGAATCATTGGAAGCGCCTGTTTTTGCTGGCCAGTGCTAGAACTGGGTACGGTTTTGCTTCTCTCTTCGCGTTAGTGGCTGTCACCATGCAGCCTTTTAAGTTTCTATGCAGGTGACGTTGGAGATGTTTGCAGGCCGAGGCAAAACCCAGAGCAGACAGGGTGAGTTTGCGCATCTGCATCCCTGTGGAGGGAAGCCAGGAAAATCTGATTTTCCCAAAGACACGGAGCTACTACCAGAGAGGATGAAGGCCACAGAAGCTGATGCTGAGTTCCTTAGAGAAATGACCCCAGTTGGCCAGGTGTGATGTAATCTCAGGACCAGGGAGGCTGAGGCAGGAGGACTGTCACCAGCTGAGGCTGGTCTGGGCTACACAGTGAGTTCCAGACCGATCTGAACTACATAGTGAGACCCTGTCCCAAGAAAGAAAGAGAAACAAAGATGTCCACAGTCGCCACGGACCGTAAACGTATGCCGGTCATGCTAGGACAGGAAACCGCCCCGACGTTCTCCACAGGGAGGAGGACCGCGCAGCGGCTGAGGTCGTGAAAGCAAACCGAGCACCAGGGCATCTCCGGGAAGACGGCACAGAATTCCTCAGGATGGCTCTGTGCGTCCTTCACCAGAGAGGAGCAGGAAAAGTGAATCGGAGTTGGGAAGATGCCTCTCGGCCACTTCGAGATGCAACAGTCAAGGCTGCGGGGTGGATGGCTGCCCGCACTCCGCTGCCGCCACAGACCCCCCACGCATGGGCACGTGTCAAACACACATGATGCAGCGGAGTGTTTCAAAGCCCGGTCCGCACAGAGCTCCCTTCTCCTGAGGGGAGAGGAGGCAGGAAGTGAGGTCTGGGCACCCAGGAAGACGGCGCTCCCTACCCTCTTCCTCTGCGAGCTCCAGCCGGCTCTTTAACCACTCTGTGCCTCAGTTTCTTCTCTTGCGAAATGGGGCTAATACGACTATCATGCAGGCCATTGTGAGGATCACAGAAGGCAGCATTTGCCATGGCTGCTGCCACCTCCGTGCCCGCGGTCACTCCGGGGCGGTGGTGAAGTGCACAGCCTCGGCACTGCCACCCCGCTCAGCGGCAGCTCTGAGGCAGCTCGCTGCCCCTTCACCTCTCTGCATATGTGTGGGTCCCTACTATGTGCCCAGGCATGGGAACCGGGGGGTCTCAGTGCTTGCCCCGTGGGGCTGCAAATTTGTGGTGCAAGTTCAAAACCGAGTGTGGCTTTTCAGATGGCCTCTGGAAGTCCCTTCGCAGGTGTGGTGCTCAAACCCGCACTGTTCGCCACGATACAGCACAACTCCCGTCCCTCCAGCTGTGGAACTGCCGCTGTCTTTGCTGGGGCAGCAAATGAAATACGTGGCATGCTTTGTGGATGTTTCCGGGAAACACACATTTTTAAGCATGAGGTGCACCCTGAGAAAAGGGGGTGGCTGGGTAGACTCCTTGGAAAGGCTCTCCTCCGACTTGGGGGCCCACACTGAGCTGGCCCTCCCAGTCCATATCCACGTCCAGAATCCAGCCAACCTCAGACAGGAGATGGTTTTAAAACCTGTATCTGTCCTGAATGGTACAAACATTTTTCTTATCACCATTCTCTGAACAGCACAGCGGCGCAATTATTTCTATAGCACTTACCTCATACTCTCCTGTATAAGGAGCTGAGATTCTGCAGTGTACAGCGGCTGTGCACGGGTTAGACACAGGCACAATGCCATTTACATAAGGGACCAGAAGAAGAGCATCCAGGGATCTGGGCATCTACAGGGATCCAAGAGCCACTTTCAGACACTTAGGGATGACTGCATATGGGGTCAAAAGGCAGAGAGATGACCGGCTTACTCCTTCCTCCTGGTACTGAACAAGCCTTCGTCACTGACACCATCTCACCTGATGCCTGCACATCCACGGTATAAACAGCTGTCCTATACTCCTTAGCCTTTGGGAGCACCCGCCTTCCAGCCCACACAAGGTGAATCATTAACACAAGAGCCTTAAACCAGCACTGTAGAGCTCGCTCCACCCAGACTCTACATTTGAAGGAACACGCGCTCCCGCGGTAGAGCTGACTTCCGCTGAGCACCGCCCGCTCTCTTGGCATCAGGCCATCTTTCTTGAAGTACAGAGTGGGGTCCTTGTTGTTTCTGTTTTTCCCGGACTAAGTGAAGGCAAGGGGCAATGGCGGCACCCTCTGGGCTCACCAGCGGCTGCTCAGGGCCTTCTCCCTCACCTCCACCGCCACCTTGGGCCGCTCCTCTGGCTGGGCTGGTGAGGCCCTGACCCCCTGCAGGAGTCCCAAGGAGCAGAGGCCATGTGTGGGAGGAACACAGTGGGTACTCCAAAGTGGGGCAGCAGGGAGGGAGAGGGCCGAGGAGGCCATGCAGGACCACGCTGAAAGAGACTGAAGACAACATGGGATTCGATACTAGCAGGCACTGCACGGGACAGCAGACAAAGTGAAACAGTACAGTTATGACACTTCAGTGGGGCTCCTTTTAGTGTCAGCCTGGAACATTTCGTTTATATGCATTTAGGCGGGGGGCAGGGAAATTTTCCTGGTTCTCACATAGAAAGGAAAAATGTTAGAACATACAGTGCACTATTTTGCATTACACTTAATGGAAGTTTTTATTTTATTCTTTTGAGACAGGGTCTGGCTGTGTAGTCTGGGCTGGACTTGAATTGCCCAGGCCACCCAGCTGCACTCACTCGCAGTGACCCTCCTGCCTCAGCCTCCTGAATGCTGCCCCCGTGCCCAGAATAGTGAAGCTTTCTTGTATTCCCTAAAACACCTTGCAGGGACATCGATGGCGTGCTACAGCGAGCGAATAACACGGAGTACGGGTTGGCCTCAGGGGTTTTCACGAGAGACATAAACAAAGCCATGTACGTGAGTGAGAAACTCGATGCAGGGACCGTGTTTATTAACACGTACAACAAGACCGACGTGGCGGCCCCATTCGGCGGTGTCAAGCAGTCCGGCTTTGGGAAAGACTTAGGTGAGGAGGGTCTGTTCACTACCCCCATCCCCGGTGCCCTGTGGCAACCTAACACTCTCGAGAGCAGTACTGAAGGGCATGTCCTGCCTGGCATTCAGATGTGGGCTCACAAGGGTACTGCTTTTTAAAAAAGGTTAAGCAGCAGGTGCCTCTCCATGAGTTTGACACCAGCCTGGGCTTCATAGTGAGCTCAAGGCCAGCTTGAACTACATGGCGAGAATGCAGGGGCAAACAGAATCTCCACCATGCCACCCAGGATTGGGAGGCGGATTGATTTACATTAGTGGGAACAGACCTCAAAAAATGGCAATTTGGAGCACTGAAAAAAAAAATGTCAGGCTGGAAAGCTCAGGGAGGGAGGTTTTCACAGCGTTGCAAAGGGATGTCCGGCGGCAGACTAGCTTGGCAACTGGGCATTGGTTGGCACCGTGTGTATCACAGTGCCCGGCCGTCTCTGGGAATCAGAAGTAGCAGAACTATGACTGGAACTGAAGTAAACTGGGCAATCTGGGCCCTCGGTGGCTTGAGATTACCTAGGCAACGCGGAGGGGGGTACTTTCTACTACAAGACAAAAAGAGACACCAAAACACAAAAACAACTGGTCTGAGGAGCGCCGGCGATGCAGGCCCGCTCCACCCTCACCTCCCGCAGCTCGGTGGAGCTCACCACCTTTCGGCAGCATCTTTCAACCACTCTTCTCTTTCCTAGGGGAGGAAGCCCTAAATGAATACCTCAAAACCAAGACGGTGACGCTGGAATATTAGTGCTGCCTCCAGAAACCTCAGCTTCGCACCTGTCCATGGAGGCAAAGGGCCCAGCCTCACGCCTAAAAACGCATCCGCGATCGCCAGGGGGCGCCCAGACACTGAGCATTTGCACTGTGCCTGGGTATTTTCTAATCCATGTTTTCTACCTTCAGATGATTTTTCTGTGCCGTGTTTTTCCTACGACACCCATGTACCTTAGTCTTCAAACACACACGGTCCGGGAGTCCACCTTGAAAGTGCCAGCCCATGGTGCCTGTGTCAGAACCCTGCGCATCGTGTGCATGCAGCCACGGACACGGGCCGTGGAAAGGATTTCCCTTGATTCTGCTTTCCAAGAGTGGTCTCCTAAGAGGGAGGTGAAGGGGGTTCGCATTTGAGATCGGATCCATCTCTGTGCCTATTGTTTAACCCTTGTGCTGGGTGATGGACCACAAACACTCCCTGCACACTGGCCTGCCAGGGACGAGGTGCTCTTTGTGTTCTGCTTACACAGAGACTAATAAGCCGGTCTTTGGTACCATGTGGCTTAAATTCCAGTAAACAGCTATGACAGGGCATTTTATAGTAGGGTACAGAACAGGGAGCCTGTGCGGGCTGGGCCACATTAGGATCCGGCCACCCCCAGGATCTGCGCAGCTCCGGAATCCTTTATGCCTCCTCTCAGAGCCCTGGGTCCCTTGTGTGTAAAATGGATCAGATGTCTTCCTCGGAGCCTCCCTGAGAACCCCCAAGGCTGTAAGGGCGCTTAGTGGATGTTTTCCTCCGTTGCTATTTTAAAAGTGCACTAACCCAGGGGTCACCTCGGTGGCTTAACCTTCCACACCTGTTCTCAGGTTCTGCGTGTGCAAGGCTGTGGGGACATTGAGATGGAAGCCGTGACACCGCTTCCTGGTCCCCTGACCCCCAGGGTGCGGGGCTGCTCTGCTGCAGAGTTCCACTCATCCTGAACCCAGCATTCACCCCCTGGCGCTGACTCTCCCTCCGAGCTAGGCAGGGTCCCCTCTCCGACCCCAGGGTTGGCCCTGTCTCAGGGACAGAGCCGCCACCACTTCTGGGGGCTTCCAGTGTGCCAAGTACAGACGGGCATGTTCGCGGTGTCACTGCGTTTCATGGTCACTGTCTGAGCAAGGAGAGTCGAGGAGCTTTTCTTACGGCCTGCACCTCGGACGTCTGCAGCTGCAGCCGGCCACTGCCACCCCGATCCTCCCCTCCCTCAGTCCTGATCCCAGCCTAAGTCACTCACTGCTTCTCCTCACCCCAAACCTGTTCCTGTCCCACATCTGGCTTAGAAGGAAGCCCCAAGTATCCTCCATCCGGCTGACTCTGCTCCTGGCTGCACTGAGTGCCTCTCTGTCCCGTCACTCTGTGCTGCCCAAGCCACCCTGGCTGCCCCTATGTTCCAGAGGTGCAGAGCACACCCCCCTCACTGGGGCTTCGTCCTGACCTCTCCTCCCAGCAGGGCTGGGAAATGTCCAACACGCTCCTGTCTGCTCAGTGCTCGGGGCCCTGGCTTGCAGCACGCATGGGTATCTGTGCATAAATAATCTCTCCCAAGCTGACTCTGAGATACCAGTTTGATCTCAGCCAACTCAGAGCCTGGAGGAGGCAGGAGCAAGGAGCAAATGCAGGCCAGCCCCAGCCAGCAGGCGACTGACTGCTCCTCCCCTACCTGCCCAGGGGTCTCGCCCGCACTACCTGTGGGTGCTTCAGTGGGCTCTTTCTACGTAGCATGCGCCGCACTCCCTCCGTCCACGGGCTCCCCTAGGGCTCATCACCACCCAGGTGAGTTCACCATCCACGTCACCACGAGGACAGAGGCTTGTTCACAGGGGCTGACATGCTCGGGTCAGCCCTGCCTGTGCCTGGCGTGGAGGCGGCGGCGCTCAGTACATATTTGCTCTCACGTGGAGAAGAAACCCAAGAGAGCACAGCCCTGATGCATTCAGTCCCTGCCACGTGGCCCTAACCAAGCGCAGCTCACTGCATTACCAGTGCCTGTCTCGGTCCCTGCCGAGCGAATGTTAAGCACCTCCGTGCTCCACCTGAATACTCAGCAGAGCAGGCACTGGGTCAAGAGCGTGGCGGGTGCAGCCAGAGCAGGACAGGACAGAAACTGGGCTCCTCCCACTGCTGCTCAGGGGTACAGCTGCGGGGATCGCTGGGTAGAAGGAAGACCGGGACGGGGCAGACAACACAGGAGGCTCTGTGGGTGGCAGCGATGACCGTCATTGCTGACGAATAGCCAACAAGTCGACTTTCAGAAGCTTAAGTCATATCTAAGAGTGGAAAAACCACAAAAAGTAGGGAGGAAAGGCTCAATACAGGTCTTCGGGTAGAAATAACTTAGGTATTTGAGGTTGTTCCACATTTCAGTGAAGATACTTTTAATTGTCTTCGTGTGATACTGCACCTACTGTGATTTGTTTTTCAAATCAGCAGCCAGGAGTGGTGGTGCACACCTGTAATCCCGCAGTCCAGAGGTGAGGCAGGAGGGTCCCTGTGAGCTCAATGTCAAGCTAGCTCCGTAGTCAACGCCGCGTGACCCTGCCTCAAAAACCTCTTTTTCAATGATTGAAAATAGAACTAGGGCTGACCAAATAGCTCAGCTGATTAAAGAGCCTGCTTAGGCAGATGCAGGGGCCGGGAGTTCAATCCCCGGGGCTGCTGTGCTGGCCCCACATCCGGGGCTCGCTGAGACAGTGATTGAGACTGGGAGTGGTAGTGCACCCTGTAATCCCAGCTCTTGGGAGGCTGTAAGCAGGCGGATCAGTACGAATCCAATCTAATAGTGAGACCCTGAACACTCTGTAGACCCTTCCCTAAAATACAAAGAAAGAAAGAAAGAAAGAAAGAAAGAAAGAAAGAAGAAAGAAAAGAAAGAAGAAAGAAAGAAAGAAAGAAAGAAAGAAGAAAGAAAGAAAGAAAGAAAGAAAAAAAGAAAGAAAAAAAGAAATAAAAAGAAAGAAAGAAAATAGAACTAAAGGTATCCCATGCGTGGTTCTCTACAAGTTCCAGCCTGGCCTGGGGGTTACAAAGTGAGCTCAAGGCCAGCCCAAACTGCATAATGAGACCCATCTAAAAAAAAAAAAAAAGCAGGCACAATGAAGACTGCAATATAGCTCAGTGCGAAGGGCCTGGGGTCAACGCCAATACCAAAGGGACACAAAAGCCGTCTCTGTGGAAATGCACTCTTTTGGGGTATCTAACGTATCTGTTGCTGTGGAGCCAAGGACTCCCACCTCAGGGCTTGCTCAGGAGACGCACCTCTGTCCCCAGGCCAGAAGCCTGCATGCCTCGGCATCCGGGCCTTCCAGCTGGGGCGCCGTGGCAGAGCGTGGCCACTCCAAGGCCGGGTGGCTGAGGCCCTGCTTCCAGCTCTCAAACAGGAGCTGGCAGGATCCACTCCTTGGTCGTGTGAGCAGACGGCTCCCCCTGCGTGTGGCTGGAGGCCAGACGGTGTTTTTCCTACAAGTAGGGACCGAACCCAAGGCTTTCTCTGAGCTACATTCTCAGGACTTTTGGATTCATTATTGATTACATTTTGAGATGAAGTTTTTTTTTTTAATGTATTTAGCACAGGGTCTACAGGGTCTCACTACGTAGACTGGACTCATAGTGATCCTCCTGTGTTCAGCTTCCCAAGTGCTGGGATTACAGGCACATGCCACCACACCCAGTTTCAATCGCTGTCTCAGTGCACCCTGGGGGCAGGGCCAGCACGGCAGGCCCAGAGATCGAATCCCCGGCCCTTGTGTCTGCCTAAGCAGGCACTTAATCCGCTGAGCTATCTGGCTGGCCCTTGAGGTGAAGTTTTGCTGAATTCCTAAATGGCAATAAATTTAGGATGAATTCCTTCTGCCTCCACTTCCCAGTGTAAGGATTCCAGGTGTATGCCACTATGCCAAGCCTGGAACAACTTCTGTTCTTTGGCAAGTGCAAGTCCCCATAGGGAACCCATAACGCGTCAGCCAGCTTTGCTCAGAAGGAGAAGACCTGGACGAGTCTCTTTGGAAGCTAATCCCAGAAGCAGCGGCTGTCATATTCCACCATTAGAAGTAACTGAATCGCTGGAGCCCTCACACTACAGAAAGGCGCAGTGTAAGGACATAAATCCTTAGAAAACAACTGGGCCCCCCAGTTTTATTATGGTTTATCTTGGCCCACAGTCTGTGGGGGTTTCAGTCCACATTTGGCTGGATCCAAGGCAGGGCAGCATGGCAGAGGGATCTGGCAGAGAGGAGACACAGCCCACGGCAGGGCAGAGGGGAGCAGAGAGGTCCGGGGAGGAGGAAGGCACAGGCCCTTCGGCCATCTCCTCTCCTCCAGCCAGGTTCCTCTTCCACATATCACATTAGCTATAAGCATATCTGTGTCTTAATCCACTGGTGAGAACCTCCTGCCCTTCTGGCCTCCAGCCCCTCCTGGGCCTTTCCTTGCACGAGCTCCTTTCCCTCCCTTCTGTCCTGCTCTTCCCCATGGTTACCCAAGGGCTCTTTCTGGGGTTCAGTCTCCCTGGCTTCTGTTTCCCATGGCAGAGAGGTCAAGGTCCTCTCCTCACAGCCCTTCTCCATCCTGGGACCTTCCTCTGCCTCTTGGGTGCCAGTCGGGCAGCTCACAGTGCTCCCTACAGTGTTTCCAAGGAGCCGTCGGATCCCAGAGATGCTGCCGAGGAGCAGGTCCCTTCTGGAGGTGCAGGAGGGGCGAGGACGACTCTGCTCAGAGAGGACCCCGCTGCTCTGGGTGGAGGCTCTGGTTCCTGCGCTCTAACCGACTTCCTACCAGGAGCTGGAGTGAGCAAGGGCAGGAGGACTAGGCAGCAGGACAGCACCCTGGGCCTGGGGCGCTCCCCTCTTGGGCTCCATGCGTGGCAAAGGGCAAAGCCCAGCAACCTAAAGAGAGAGAGCCTTCCATCACTTGGTCCTCCATGTACAACCAGAAGCAAGGTAGCATCGATACATGTAAGTGTGAGAACAAGAGCAATTACAGCAAATAAATACACAGATAAATATAGGTTGTGGTCCTCTGTTTCCTGCATGTTGCAGTCAAACAATCCAGTGTTGGGTGGTCACTGCCTCCGTCACT